GAGGTGACAAGGGACAGGGGGGGTCCCAGTCACCTGCGGGTACCGGGGGACAAGGGCAGGGGCTGTCCCCGGTTGTCCCCAGGCCCAGGGGACAGGGTCACCCCAGGCCCGGGACTCCACCTTCCGCCCCCTCAACTCGCTGTCCCAATGGAGGTGCCCTAACTCCCCCCCCACCCCCGCCGAGCCCTCGTCGTTACCGCTTAATGAGCAGCTTCTTAACGAACTTCTCCTCCTCCCCGGGAGGATGAACGGGTTTTCTCCTGTGTAATGAGGTCGTCAGGGCACCGCGGGGTCCCCGAGGAGCTCCCCAAACCCCAAAATTGTGTTTTCTCCCAACTGGGAGACCCCCTGGGACGGAGCCCCGCTACCCCAGGGACGATGACGGGGACACGGTGGCACTGTCCTCCGTGCCTGGGTATGGAGCGACGGGGGAGATGGGGGACTGCGGCCACCTCTGGGGGATAAGGGTGGGAGGGAACCCTGGGTGAGGGGGTGTCCCTGCCACCCCCTGGACACAGGGTGACAAGGGACAGGGTCCCTGGTGCGGGGTAACAAGGAAAGGAGGTCTCAGGTACGGGGTGACACAGGACAGCTATAGCGGGGGGGGTTCAAAGGGTGACAAAGGCCAGCAGAGCCCCAGGGACAAGGGACAGGGGGTTCCGCCACACTCACCTCTTCACTCCTGCGACAGCGGCTTCGGGTGAGCCGTTGGCTGCTGAGAAAAACCCTCATCAGGGGCCTTCCTCCCCTCCCTCATCCTCCTCCCACCCCGTGTCACCCCTCACCACTCACCGAGCTCAGCGCCCGCGGCCCCGGGGCTCTCGGCCGTCTGCGGGTAAAGGCGAGGAGGGGACAGGTTGGGACAGCCCAGTCCCTCATCCCCCAGGGGACACTGAAGCAGGGTGGGCATCCCCAGCCCCCCGTCACCGCTCTGCGGGGCACTGGGGGTCCCCTGCCCCTCCTCAGCCCCCGTTTGGGGTCCCACTGGGGGCTGCAGGAGGGGGCCGGGGGCGTATTGCCCTTTGCTCACCACCGTGGCTTGCAGGGGGCCCTGGAGAAGGGAAATTGCGGGGGGGATCCGTTACCAGGGGGGCACCCATGGGTGCGGGGACCCCCCTCCCAAAAAAAAAAAAAAACACCCCCCCCCCCCCCCCGGAGGAGCCGGCGGG